ATTGGATTGATAAATGTGTCCTCAATGTAATGTACATTTGTCTCTAAACTACTAATTTAATTTACATTTTATGACATTTTATGACATTGGTTTGAGGATAGATAAATACATCTTCATAATAATTCCTTATTGTTGTTTATTTTAGACTGTTTGTTACTAATGTTATTTTAACATCTGAAAATTTAATAAAGATTTAAAAATAAAAAGGACATACCACGTGACAGACATACCATGTGACATAACACATTTTTTTGGCCATTTCTCTCGCCAGCGCCTATAGGCAAGAGCGGTCAGCATTTCCAATATGGGATGGCAGTTATATTAAGCTTACAGTGGGTAGAGGAGGTTCGACCAGACAGGGTGGTGATATGTACAGACTCTAAAGCAGTGTTAGAAAGTATCCAGGGAGAAGGAAATAATAGGAAAGAGTTAGTATTAGAAATTATGCATAGTTTATTTAGATTATATAGAGGTGGTATTAATGTCTGGTTCTGCTGGGTTCCAGCTCACGAAGGGGTTAAAGGAAATGAAAAAGCTGATAAATTAGCAAAAAGGGTTTTAGAAATGACAATGAAGATGATAATTCCTTTCGGGAAAGGGAAATCATGTATTAAAATGAAAGAAATAAAAGAATGACAAAAAAGGTGGAAAGAAGATAAGAAAGGGAGAAAATTATATAAAGTGCAAAAGTCAGTACTAATTAGAAATATTGATGAGAGAAACAGAAGGGAAGAAATAATTATGACTAGATTAAGAGTAGGACACACCTATTTAAATGACGCTTTACATTTAATAGGGAAGAAAAGTAATGATAAATGTGAAGGATGTGGAGAGAAAGAATATGTAGAACATGTATTAATGAACTGTAGAACATATGAATCTGAAAGAGAGTATCTGAAAAGAATTGTTGGAAGGACAGGAAAAGAAGTGAGTCTTAAAGGAATATTAGGAAATGAAGGAAACATAATGGATATTTATAGAGTAAGGAAAGCTTTATTTACTTTTCTTAAAAACACAAGATTAATAAATAGAATTTAATAAATGTAGAGAAAATGTTGCTACACACTTGTGTACAGTAGGTGGCGGTATGCACCTAAAAGTTACTTGCAATCCGCCATTAATGAAAAGAAGAAGAAGAAGAAGAATTTCCAATATGGCTGTCCTTGATGTGGGCGGGGCTTGATGTCAAGCCCCGCCTTCCCGCAGGCTGCAGCGGGATGCTTCTCTCTAGTTGCTCTGAGTGGCAGCAGGAAATCACAGCCAACCAGCTGCAGCCAGAAAACTTCTGTTTACTGAATTCAGAAACTTCTACTGTCAAGAGTCAACATGCCTAAAAATAGGAAAATAAATAAAGCTAAGATGTCTACATGGAGGTAAGAAAAGCAATCCTCCAGTTCATGGAAATTAAACATAGAAATCTTTAATTAGGAACAAACACTAAAAACTGATTAATGAAAAGTTGGAGAGAAGGATGAGAGATGCTTTCTACATCACACCAGGCACCATGTGACACCCTGTATGTTCAGGAGAGTAATGGCACCAACAGGTTCCTCCCCCTTCTGTTGGGATCTGGAGATCTGCCACCTTTCTCCAGCAGAGAGCGCCCTGGGTCTCCTGAGATGAAGCCACCAGCACACCTGAGGCTGATTCACCTGATTAGGAGACCATCTACTTAAGCAGCGGCCAGACCTGTCTTCAGCGCCGGAGTGTTGACCAGTTTTGGTTAGCGGAACCTGAGCCTCAGCTTGTATTACGAATCTCTGTCTGCTCTAGAGAGCAACCTGATCCTAACCAGCCTCTGTCTTCTCTGCTCATAGGAAAACCCGACTGAACTCTGTAGCTCTAAAGGAGCTCATGTTTGGAAACCTGCCTGCCTGCCCAGACAAGCCAAACCTGAAGATCCTCAGTCTGAATCTCCCAGCTAGTTCTCAGGAGAGAACTAGGAGAACAACTCAAGGTCTGAACCTCGCTAGCCTGAAGCTAAGCTCTGCCGCTGCTGAGCTCTCTGCTGAGTCTCTGGACCCAACCGGTTCCCTCTCTCCACCGATCAGTCTGAACCTCATCAGGTACAAATCAGAATCAAAACTCTGCCAAGACATCGCTGCTACCTGGCTAACCAAACAATCCCTCTCTGCAGATTACTCTGTGAAACCAGCCCCGGACCAGTACCAGAACCAGTTCAATCATTTACTCTGTGTGTGCTTCTCAAATAAACTGTTAAACTTTTACTCTGTTTCCTGTGGTGTTCTAACCTGACAACAGCCAGATGCATGTCTCGCTCCGCCTAGCTCCACTCACATACATCTGGGAACCCGCCATAGGAATTGCCTTTACTGAAGGCTGGGCCTTATCAAAACTCCTTGCATATGATTGGATAAGCCACTTGTCTGTCATCTTTATTGACGTGCTATTTCAACCACTCACACCGAAGCTAACCCGTGACGCTGTGAGAGGAGGAGCCATTTGGTAGATCAAGCTCTTGCCAAATCCGGTCGGGAGAAGGGCGAAAACATCGTTTCCACCAACAAAAGCCTTCAAAGCCGTTCTCTGATGTTATTTTAATGAAACAATATCAGATAGATTGGACAACACAGAAGAAATAGCAGCATCAATGCTAACGCTTGCTTCCTCAATGCGAGCCGCCATTGTTGTTGGAATCTCACGGTCGCTTCTCCACTCCAGGACACACCCACCCTGCGTCCTGATTGGACAGACCATAAATTCGGTTGGGGAAATCACTTTCAATGAGCGGGTTCCCAGATGTATGTGAGTGGAGCTGGGCGGAGCGAGACATGCATCTGGCTGTTGTCAGGTTAGTGGTGTTCTGCATGTGGGTTTAATCACAGAGATCCATCATTACACCTTCACGCCCTCATAGAGCGCTTTAAGAGATCTTTTGTTCCTTCTGCTAAAAGCCATCTTAACAACTCAGTCTCATCATGTGCACTTTGTTTTCTTTAGCACTGTTGCTGAGAACATTTTAATATTTTTAGATTCTTCATGTTCTTATATATGAATGTGCATAATAACTAATAAAACTTCAACAGTTTTCCCCTTGCCCTGAACTGATCACGGTGATCAGTTCAGGGACAGTTGGAAAATAGACTGAGGCTTCAATATTGCTGGAGGGGCACTCACTTTTGGGGGGGTCTTGGTTTATCCTTGAATCCAGTTTGTGGGGGGTTAATCCAGAAAAGAGGGAACTCGTTGGAGAGTGGACAAGCAGACATAGAGGAGTAAAGTAGCGGACTGTCACTTGGTTTTCCAAGAGTGGACTTGAACGGATCATGTGGAGGTTTTCCCCTTGCTCAGTGAGACTCAGTAGATCCTTCCAGGGGTAGAAGGTCCAGGCTTATCCAGTAACACAGGAAGTCTTCCTGCCGAAGAACAAAGACAAAAAACAAGTTCAGACTCAGAGAAACAATGCTAAGACTCTGATAATCTCAGTTTGGCTAGAGTACCCAATACTGGCAAACACTCTGGTGTTGACAGGTGGTGACAGCCTCTGGTAATGACCCAACGAACCGCAGGTGTGCAGGGAGACCCAACGAGAACAGGGCACCGCCTGGTGGTGGAGAGAGGAAAACACAAAAAACAACCCACACAAACTGGAATCCTAACAATGTTTTCTGCTGCAGAGATTCTCAGCATTTATTAAGCATTTATCTGCCGTGAAACTGGAGGCTTTAAACTGAAACAATAAAGATCTAATACCTGTCATAAAGTAAAACATATTTATGTTAGTCATGGTGAGCAGGAACAAGGATTAATCGCTTTCTCTCCTAAAAATAACGTTTATTTTGTGGTATCAAGCTTGTTTTACTGCTGGAACTAAAGAACCTGTCAGAAAAATATGAGGATATGATTGGGTTTCTTATCAGATGGGCTTCTAATCAGGATTGCCTGCATTCAATTCAATTTCAATTCAATTCAGTTTATTTCTATAGCGCCAAATTCACAACACATGTCATCTCAAGGCACTTTACAGTTCAACCAGATCATCCAGTTAAACTGATACAAAGTTTTCTATCTAAGGAAAACCAGTTGATTGCATTGAGTCATTGACTCAAATACAATCCCTCACACTAAGCATGCTTGTAGCGACAGTGGAGAGGAAAAACTCTCTTTTAACAGGAAGAAACCTCCAGCAGAACCAGGCTCAGTGTGAGCGGCCATCTGCTGAGGCCCACTGGGGTTCAAGGAGACAGAAGCAGAGATACAAAAAGCAGCTGTAAAAGGCGGCCCCTTCCAGGAAACACACAGCCAGGCAGACAAGCTCCGAGCCAGCTCCCATGTCAGAGGATGAAGAGAACACATCCACTCAGTCCCGGTCAGAGAAACAGGACTACACTGGAAAACAGGCCGATCTCCAACATCTATAAACAAGGGTGCAAGCATTCTGACTGCTTTCCATAGAATAGATCTTCGGTGGTTTGCTATGCTTCTTTACAAACACCCATTTCTCTAAAAAAGACAAAGACAACAAAGACATTTAAAGGACAGTAATGATGCATATGTATCATTGAGGAACAATTTTACTAGAAACCAAACTTTAAATCTGTTTGTAAGTCTAAAGCAAAATGAAGAAAGTGTGACACCATGAGTTCTTTTCAAAAGTGGGAATCCTTAAATTGCCATTCACTCATTGTTCAGACAAAAACAAAACAGAAGTTACTTGATTAAAAGCATTCAGCAAATAAAAAACATAGGTTTCATTCCTTCTTTATATTACATTCTGTTGTATCCTTATAAATTGGTTAGAATAATAATTTCCAAAACGTATTTGGAAATACAAGTTATTAAATATTGCTGCTGATTCCATCAGCTACTTTGAAGCTTGATGTGTTTCATTCTTTAGTATGAGGCCACAAACACATATTAACTGCCAAAGCCTGCCGCTATGATTAATCTTTCACACATTCCTGAAACAAGTCAAGCAAGTCCTGCTGACGAGTAAAAAGTAAGAGAGATAGAAAACCTTCATCATTGTCTGTTTGTTGTTTCTATATGTAGGCTCTACCCACAAACCCAGCCAAACAGTACAGAAGAGAGATATCATGGGGAACTGCATACGTGCCTGGTAAGAGAATCATCTTCAACTTGATTTTCTTTTAAATGTGTACAAAATTTGAATAAGATCTTCGTAAAATTACATCTGTCTATTAAAAACTGTGGGACTTAAAAATAATATGGAATCAAACTATAAATTACCTAATCAATTCCAACCATAATTGCAGCTTTAACTGGTTAAGAAGTGTTCTGGGGTAAGTTGCATTTAATTTTTTTGTTGTAAATTAACAGACGATGATCATGATGACACATATTTGCTGGAAAATGTCTCAGGCCTGTGATGGGCTTTTTCAAATACGTGAGGTAAATCTCCATTTTAGAATGAAACAGAAAATAATTCAGTGGCAGATGTCATGCCTACAGACTTGTCTGCTTAACAACAGCAACCTTGGTGGTTCAAATGGATGAAAGATCACACATTAATATTGATACTGAAACTGTGTTTCAGTTTTCAGCATATGGTTAAACCCAGGGTGCGAAATACGGGGGGTCCGGGGGGACTCGACCCCCCCGATTAACCCATGAGACCCCCTGAAAGCCTAAAAAGCAAAATTTAAGGGGGGTCTTAAATTGTGTCAACTAAAATTTAAATAAAATGTTCTGGCTCCTTAGGAAGCCATTGCTCATATTTGCGTATTGTTTCTAAGTTATATACTATAAGCTTTCTTATGTATAATATTTGATATAGTCTTATATTGAAAGCACCGGAAGTTGAGCAGTTGGTGTCTTCCTGTTTAACGAGTAAACACTGCATAGCTGAATCTGTTCTAACTGTGCTGCGTTTTTTGCCAGTACAGCATGTAATTTGATGTGAAGGGTATATTTCGTTTATGTACATATAGTACTATGTTTCATGTTGTGTTGGAGGTTTATTGCAAGAAAGGTCACCGAGAAGAGAAGTTTAAAAAGACGCTAGCATACGCGCTAACTAGCCGTTAGCAATGCCGCTAGCTAGCAGCTAATGTTAACATGTTGTTTGTGTCATTATGTGTTTCTGTGCATATTCAGGGAATATGTTGAGTTTATTATTTAGGAGAATTGTGCCTGTTTATTTGGAATTGTGCCTGTTTACACAAAGACTTATGCACATTATTTCTTTGTTGCAGTTTGACCATTCATTCATCCATCCATACAAGCCAATAAATGCAAAGAAAAGGCTTACGGTGTGGTTATTGGAAATGATGGATATCTACCTGCTAAGCTAAGAGTGAGGGCAGGACATAAATTATTTTTTTGTCGCTTATGGTCACTAAAATGTTTTAAGCTCAACATGTCCAGTATTAAAATTCAAAACCTTTATTCACAAATATGCTCTGTTTTTTGCGAAGTGGAGCCAGCCAATCCTGTTCGCGTATGCAAACTAGCCATGTGCTTTTCCGCGGTTAATAACACGGGCAACGCGGAATAGATTACGTGAAGACAGCAGGTCTTCACTCCTGTTTGTGGACCTCAACGGACTTCCTCTGGACAAATTCGACCCATTTCCATTTGTCAGAAACTGGATTAAAGCAGGACATGTGTGTCCATGAAAGAGAGAGACAAACAGACAGACAGACAGTCTTTGTGCATGTGGGTGTTTTCAGAGACTGACTGTCTATTCAGGCTCTTGCCCACTCCACCAGATTCACAGAAAGCTTCATCCACCAAGCTGTCAGGAAGCTGAGCCCCCCTCAAAAAAAGAAAAAAATCAGTCCGTACAAACTGTCTCCTGCACTACTATTAATACTGTATTTATTTACTGTTCTTTTGCACTGTTACTGTTACAAATGCTATATCTTACATAATTGGTAATAATAATTTTTCTGCTTCCATTACCATCTGCCTTTTTGCACTAGCATAAGTATTGCATATTTTATATTATTGTACATTTGATATTTTATTGTGAAATTGAATGTTTAAATTTTAGTATTAGGAACTGATCTTATCTGTTGTGCCTGTGCACTTCATCGGTTTCACTGTTGGTGAATGAGAAACGTCCTCTCCAGTCCTTGTATGTCTGGTGAATCTGAAGAATTGACATTAAAGCTGACTTTGACTTTGAAATGTTATAGGCCTACTGCATATTGAGACAATTTAGATCGGTATTGCGCAACAATATGGAGATGGGGACCCCCCCAAATATTGACAGGTATTTCGCACACTGGTTAAACCTGTTTAGATTTTACAGGGAATAGTGTCCATCACTGGGCCACGAGGAGGCCAACATTTAATTGATTGAGTCTTTCAGCTTAGACAGGTTTGTCGAGAAACCAACCAACTAATGCTTTCACATGAGAGCATGTTTTATTGGTATACTACCTGATTATAATCATGATTGGGACTCTCATTCAAAGGTCACCTGTCTCAATGCACAGTTTCTCAACAATTAAAGACTGTTAACTTTAAAATAATGACAGAAAGGCAACCGGCGTATTTGAAATAAAAAAGATATGATGTGTCATAAAATATAAATTTGTTCCTGAAAAACACCCTGCTATTTTGATAGTTCTTAGAAATCATGGAGGGGTCTGAAAGTACAGAAATCACAATATATTACTTCTTTTAACTATTTTTGTATAATATAGCTGCAAATATGCATTTCAACTCCTGTCTATCAGCAAGAATTCTGACCCTTAAGGACCTGTTAGTCTGCCTTCAAAATGTCCACCTTCACTCCATTTATTATCCTTAATTAGATGCACCTGTTTGAGGTCATTAGCTGCATAAAGACATTTATTTTAATTATTTATTTAACCTTTATTTAACCAGGAAAAAAATCCCATGGTGGGAGTGGTGGCCAAGAGGCAGCAAAGTTACATAAGACACATTAAACATAGATACAAAATAAATGACTGGTACATAAAAATAAAAAAAATAAGTAATACAATTACAGATTATTGAGGCTGCTTCAAATTATTTAACTTTCAACTTAAAAGCATTTAAAGATAAAAACTCTGTCATCTTCCAGTTTCTCTGTAAAATATTCCCCCCAGAAGGAGCTGCGTAGCTAAAGGCTTTCCTCCCTAGTTGGGTTCGGGCAAAAGGAACAATGAGCAACAGCTGATGGTGGATCTCAGGGCAGAAGAAGCCGTGCTTTACTGGGGAAGTAAGGTACAAATGTAAGAGGGCAGTAATCCAAGAAGGGCCTTGTAAATAAACGTGTAGCAATGACACTGCCTTCTGGTAGAGAGGGAAGGTCGTCCTACCCGAGAGGACAGGTCACAGTGATGTGTCATGGCTCTACAGTTTGTGATGAACCTTAATGAAGCATGGTAAGTCCAACATTTGAAGACATGACGAAGTAGCATTGACCCGACACATCTATTCACCCCATACAGTCAGTAAGCAACTGCTAACATGGCCAAGACCAAAGAGCTGTCTAAATACACTAGAGACTAAACTGTCCACCTCCGCAAGGCTGGAAAGGGCTACGGGGAAAATGCCAAGCAGCCTGGTAGAAAAAGGTCCACTGTTGGAGCAATCTTTAGAAAATGGAAGAAGCTAAACATGACTGTCAATCTCGCTCAGACTGGGGCTCCATGCAAAGATCTCACCTCATGGGGGCTTTGTGTTGCTCAGACAATTTGTTTTTTTCCTTCAAAACCAAAACGAAATAAGGAAATCACTGCGGTTTTCCCTTTTTTTCATTTCCAGATTAAGACCAAATAAAAACAGAGCTGATTTTCCTTTTCTCTCCACAGCGTTAATAAACAAAAAAAGGAATACTTAATGAAAAAACGGACAACTGTTTTTTTAAATTTGCCTATTTCCTGTTGTTCTTTGGAGTTTACAGGCAAATGCTGAGTATAAATTAAGCGGCTAAGTCCTCCAAAGGCAAGATTTGGTCATTGGATTTTCGTTTCAGAAATGGGAACAAAAATATATAGCCATTTGATTTTTGTTTTTCTCTTTTTCATTGTCAAAAAGGAAAAAAATTGAGTTTGAAAAATTATTTGAATTTCGGGAAACAAAGAACAAAAATGCTTTTGAACAGAAACAATAAAAATATTTGTTTGTTGTCATTTATTCATTTTCCAAGACTGGATGTGGGTATTTAATTGTAGCAAAAGATTCAGAAGGTGCTTTTGACACAATTAAGACCTGTCCGGGGGGGAATACTTGCTGCTATGACACTGCACTTGGCTTCCGATTCAGGAAACCACTTAGTTTTTCCTTACATTAAGCATATTTAATCTACTCTAATTAAAAAAGTACAATACCTAGACACATCAAACCTGGAGAAGTTTATTTTGAAGTTTCACAAATCCCAGACCTGGTTTTAGTTTTTCCACCAAAACACTGCAGTAATACACACTAGAAGTAGCCTGGCTCTAAATCTACAACACCTAGACACATAAAGCCTGCACTAGATTATTCCGAACTATTGGTAGAATAATTAAAACCAGGTCTAGGATTTGTGCCACCTTTCTCTGATTTGTGAAACCTAAATAATAACAGATTTCAGCTATTTCTTAGTATCTAGACCACATATATAATGAACCCATCCTCCTCTGATAATATTTTTTTTTTGTTTTGCTTTGAATTCCACTTTAACTGTCATTTTCCTCTATTTTTTATATTTAGTGTGTCAACATTTGGTCTTGCAAATGTTTAATGTCCGATGCCTTCTTAACACTCCCAGAAGACTCCCAGAATTCTGATCTCACTATTATTTGACTGTTTCACTTCACAGGTTCAAAGTTTGAAATTACAATTTTATTTACATAAACAACGGAAGAGTCCATTAAATTCTGTTGTCAACCGATGAGTGCTGATAGAGAGAGAGAATTCTTGTTAGCTTTGATAGAAGCAGGCAAAAGCAGACGAGGAGAGGTGTGAGTGATTTTCTGGTCCGCCAGTAACCTCGTCTTTACTGGGGGACCTTGGCTTTTAGCAGAAGGGGACAAACTGAAATAAAATGCCCATCCTCACCACAATACAAACAGAGCTTGGCTCGCATACGCTGCTGCTCCTGCTCAGGACTTAGTCTCATGCTGCCAATCTGCATGGGGTCAGGGGAAGGAGTAGTAGTAGAGGGCTCAGTAAAAGATGGGTGATTACCAGCCGAGTGTGGGGTGGAAGGAGTAACTCTGTTACCTCCTTCCTTGGCTCGGGTTCGAATCCGGTTGTCCAAGCTGATTGATAGTTTGATAATTTCCTTTAGAGTTTCAGAGTGTGGCTAATTCATCCTTTATGGAGTCATTGAGAGCGTTAG